CCGGTAGCAACGGGGCCTGGGGAAGCATTGGCGGGGCACGGGGGGGGCACCTGCTGCCCTGGCAGGAGATGCCAGCAGGCAGGAGCTCCTTCCATGGAGACCTGAGCAAGGCAAGGGCTGAGTTCCCGCTGGTTTCCTGCTGCCCCCTTGGGGTGGGTGTTAGCTTTGCCCTTGTCCGTCCCTGGACCAGGCCCCCTGTGGAACTTGGCCCGGGGCTGTGGGGCACTGGGAAGAGGGTCTCAGCCCCCCAGAGCGGCTGTTCCTCGTGCTGGGACGTACCCCGGGGCGAGAGGGGCTGTTGGTGATGCTGGACGGGGGGCTCTGCCGTGGCCAGCTGGGCAGGGGAGCCCGCCCGAGAGCCCTGCGCTGGCACAGGCCCCAGGGCAAGGACGCCCTGCGGTGCCGGAGCCCTCCACTGCTGTACTCAGAGCACCCACCGGGTGTCCCTTCCGTCCCCTCTCCCCAGGCCCTGGGCATCTACAGTGCTCTGACCAAGCCACACGCTGCCAAGAGCCCGGAAGTGACCCCGCCAGCCCTCGAGGTCCCCCGGCCCCCCCGCACAGAGCTGCCTGAGGTGGACCCACGGAATTCCAGCTAGCAGACGAGCCCGGAAGACTCGGATCACTGTGAACAAACTGCTGTGGCAGCACCCGGCGAGGAGCATGGCACCCCGGCTTCTGCCACGTAGGGAGTGCTGCGGGGCGCCTGCCGGGGGTCACGCCCTGCTGCCCCCCCCACGCCAGTCGGACTCTTCACCCTGTTTTGGTTCTTATTTTTATTTGGATTTAATCATGGAATAAAGGAGATGGCACCGGTGCCACAGCGCCTGTCGGCAGCCTTGTGTGCGGGAGGGGTGCTCGGGGAGGGCTGGTGATGTAGGACCGGGCAGATGAGATGAGACCTGGGCCCTGTCTAGCCCCAGTCTCCTCTCTGCCAATGTCTGGCACCAGCTGCTTCTGTAGAAGGTGCAAGAGCCTCTCTTGGGGAGGTTCTGAGGTCACCTGTCTCCAGGGGAGTCTCCTCACAGCTCCTGGGTGTGAGGCCTGAAACCGATTTTGCATCCCACCCAGCACTCGTACAACTTTCCAACTTCTGGTTGTGAGCCCTCACAGAACTGTCCTGGCCCTCTCAATCTGAAGTCCTTGATCTCCGGGATCTCATGCAGCTATGAGTTCCACAGGCTGATTACGCGTGGGACAGAGAAGGTGGCCTTTCGCAATTTGCTAGGCTGAGAGGAGAAGCCGGGGCAAACCAAGAGAAAAGGGATCGTTTCAGATCTTGACAACTTTGTGAGGGAAACCCCCAAATGGTAGCAGAAGCATAGAATAGACTATTGCTAGGGCCCTACCAAATTCAGCCTTGCAAAATGCATCCCGGACCATGGAATCTGGCCATTTGTGGACTTTTATCTGACGCTGTACAGACTTCAGGGGGAGACCAGCGTTTCTCAAACTGGGGGTCCTGACCCAACAGGGAGTTGCAGGGGACCACAAGGTTATTTTAGGAGGCTCACAGTGTGGCCAGCCAGCCTGCCTTCAGCGCTGGGCAGCTGGAGAGTGGTGGTTGTAATGTTGGTTTGAGCCCAGCTCTGAAGGCAGTGCCCCGCCAGCAGCAACACAGAAGTGAGGGCGGCAACGCCCTGCCCGTGTCGCCCTTATTTCTGTACTGCTGCTTTCAGCGAGTGGTGGCTGCTGACCCTCAGCCCAGCTCTGCAGGCGGCAGCGCAGGAGGAAGGGTCGCAGTACCGCAACCCCCCTACACTCGCCCCCACACCGCTCCCTACTGGGCCAGGACCCATAGAATTACAGCATCGCCCACCTGCAGGTTTAAATTCCCAAATCACAACGTTTTTCCTCTTTAAATTCCTGTGACTGTTACATTGACCAAATGTACCATGAATGTGGCAGAGATGTAAGTGTTACCACGAACGTGCTGCAGCTGGTGGTGAACAGTTACCTGCCCCTTAACCTTAGCAAGCTTGTCGCTGCAGAGAACAGGCCTTTTCTCTCTGTCTGGAAGGCCAGCTCTGCTCTGGCTGTCCTGTGCTTCCAGGCCTGGATCTTAGCTCCAGAGCAAGTGTGGGCTAGAGCCGCCCACCCTGTGTACCTTGGAAAGCCCAGAGCCAGTGGATGGGAGCCAGAGGCCCCCCAGTGCACAAAGAGGAGGAAACGGGGGTGAAGGCTGCTTAAGGGCAAAGCTGCTTCTCTGGCTTGCGCGAGGGCTCTACACAACTGAATCCGGATTCCCTTTGCTGTGAAAATCTCCCTCCCGGTCCCTGAAGAGCTGCTGCTCCCCCCCTCCCCGTTGACCCTCCCAAATTGCTGTAGTGAGCCATTTCAGCCACCTCCTCCCCTTCGCTTTCCTTCCTTCCCTTGTTCCTCATTCCTAAGCCCCCCTAAGCTGCCCCACTTCTCCGGAGGTTGCTCATCTGCTGCGTCCGCAGAGAACGGGTGGCAGGCGGGAGGTCGCCGCAGCCTGTCGGGCACCCCATGCCTAGGGCGCTGGACCAGTCATGCTACTCCCACTCGGAGACCCTGTTTGTAGCTAGTGGGCATGGGGCTGCTGACAAACCAGGGCTGTGCTCGCTACGCGGCGTTCCCTTCCCTGTTGGGGTGAGCAGACCAGTCCGGGCGGTGGCTGTGGGTGTGTCTGGGATGAGCTGTTGGAGTCGGAGGCAGCAGTTGGATAAGGGGACAGGCTGGGGTCTGTCCTCGGTAGCAGGGTGTCCTCAGTAGCAGGGTGGCCCAGAGACCTTTCCCCATGCTGGGGCAGCCTGCTGCAGTGTGAGGAGTAGGGGCAGCCAGGGGAGGGTTGGCCCTTGAGACAGGCTTTCCTTAGGGCAGGAGGATGGTCCCTGTGCCGAGGGGAGCAGACGCAGGGACCTCCAGGTGTGGACCTGGATTCCTGGGGGAATTGCCAGGGTGCAGAAGAGCAACAGAAGGGCGATTTGAACGTGTTGGGTGGCACCTCCGCCTTCTCCTTCAGCCTGGGCTCTTCTGAAGAGTTCCCCCACCGCCCTGTCATTCCTCCCCGCTTATGGGCGTCCAAGCCCCCTGCCCTGTGGCGAGGAGTTCCAAGGCAGATTGGCTTCAGGGGGGCAGGACTGGGGCGGGGGGGCCAGTGGGGGCGCTGG